AAAAAAAAAAAAAAAAAAAAAAAAAAAGAAAAAGAAAAATTTATTATCAAAGTTTTTTTCGCTTTTTTATTTGTACTATTATTTTCATTCTATTCTTTTGCAAAATCAAAGAAGAAAGTTTTATTTTATTAATTACTTCGCATACTATTTTTTATCTCTTCTTTTCTATTCCAAAATTTATGCAACAATTATGAACGTCGAAAAAATGCTGTTAATTTTTCTGGATTTTTTTTTGCAAATTAGTAATTTGTAGTCTATCTTTTTTTTTTCTTTCTCTCTTTCTTTCTACATTTCTTTTCTTGCTTTAATCATATTTGTATAGGCAGTTATTTGTGTAAAAGAAGCGTTATCATTTTCATAAACTGTATATGTCAAATAGCACTAAACTATTCGCTTATACTAAACGTTGTTTTTGTGATTGCTTTTTTGACAGAGTTTTTGTTTTCTATTCTTTTTTTTTTTACCCGCAGTAATCCTTACTCCAAATTTTTTTTAAGTTTTAATTACTTTGATTTATTTTATTTACCTAAGGACGGGTATTACATTGTTTTTTCTATCTGCATTCTTTTATCTATTTGAATAAATGTTTTATTGTTGTTAAACAGTCGTTGGTAACAGTCTGCAGATTCGGTCGGTATGTAAACAGTATCAAACAACCTGAACAGTGATGGTAAATTAGCTGCAAAAAATATTCAAACACATTGTGAATATAAAGTTGTTGCATAACTGTATCTTATTATCACTAATATCAACTTTTTTTAGACACCCTTCCCCTTCTTCGCTTTCCCCCGGTTTCGTCATCAAACCAAAGAAGTCAATAGAAACAACTGATAAAAAATTTCGGTAATGCTGTTGCTGCAACTTTGCAACAATAATTATATGCAAAATGTTTGTATACATAAAGAATTTATTCTGTTACTTTTATTACATCCCACTTATTCCAATACACTGTGTGGTCGTATAAAAAATTCAAGGAAGAAAAGAACGAACAAATTTTAGCAGTTAAAAAAAAGTGGAGGAAAAAAAATGCGTAAGTATTTGTTTGACGTAAAACGACTAAGCGTAGAAAAAAAGATAAACACCGTAAAATTATCACTTTTTT